ATGTTCCGCCCATCGTTCTAAACGTCTGGACTGGGAGCAGATGAGAGTATCATCTTTTTCCGAAATAATCTCACTTACACTTGACTTACTAATTCCAGTTTCTTTTATTAGTCTGTAAAGCTGTCTTGTGTTCCCCATAGTCGCCGCCTTTTCCATCTCTTTTGCTTTCGTTACCCACCACTGCTCACGGTCGTTCTTTAGACTTTTTCTTAACCTAGATCTGATTTGTTTTCGCTCTTCATCATGTTCAGGACCTGATGGGACGAGTTTGCGAGAATCCATCAGTGTGACAGACCTTGAAGAAATCCACTGGTTCCTTGCAACTCTGTGGTTTAAGTCACTAATAGATGTCACTGCTGTTTCCACAGCTGATTGTATGCCCTTCCAAGCAACATCTGGGTCAGCCTCGTCTTCACAACTACCTAAGTGTGACCTCAGTTGTTCCTGGAACCTACTTTTGGTTTTCTCGTTACTCAAATCAGTTCTAACGGGTCTTTTTAATGTGGCTTTTTTGCGTCCAGTGAGGCACAAGCAGATGCGTGCCCGTATTAGGGCATGGTCGGAGTCCAAGCAGGTACTCCAGAATGAGCGAAAATCTCCTATCGACTTTCTCCAACGATGACTGATGGCAATATGGTCTATTTGAGTCCATCGTTGGTTTGGTGTAGGGGGTCGCCATGTTAGACGATGTCTCTCCTTATGCTTAAAATTTGTGTTTGCTAAAAATAAACGATTGTCTGAGCACAGTTGCTGCAGACGATCACCATTATCTGTTCGCTGTGTCGGAATACTAAAATATCCACCTAAATGCCTTTCTGTTTGGTTTAAACTGCCTATCTGAGCATTAAAATCACCTGCTACGAGTACTATGTCTGAGCGTTTAGCTTTCTGAAGAAGTTCGGACAGCTTTCTGTAAAATTCATCTTTCACATCATCTGAGCTGCAGTCAGTGGGAGCGTAGGCAGAAACGACAAAAAGGCAACGACGTGTGTCCCTATCCTTCCGAGTTCTTACGTAGCCGTTCAGCCGAACAGCACATAGACGACTGTTGACGGGGATCCACTCTAACAGTGCTTGTTCGGCCCTCATGCTTAGTGCTATGCCTACACCTGCCAGTCCACGAGAACTTGCCATCGGGTCACCAGATACACGAAGGGTGTACCTCGTTGGCTCTCCGTTTTGCCGAGGTGAGGTCAAGTGAATGACCACACTGGAATCCTGTATGCGTGTTTCGGAGACACAGCACACGTCAATGATAAGAGACTCTAGGGTTTTAGCCAAGGAAGCCTGCTGACCAATTTGACATAGGGTTCGTACGTTGAAGGCTCCAATGTGTAGTTTGGAGCGAGGTTTCAGTAGACCTGGGACAGTATTTTGCGCACTAGAATCGTTGGCTATGGTGACACTTGAGGTGGAAGCCGAGAGAGGAAATTTAAAGTTGAAAGTCGATGTAGGAGGAATAATAGGAATTGAAGAGGAAGGTTGATTATGAATACAGTGGTCTTGAGCGCTGTTAGAGGTATGAGGGCGGTTTTCACTTCCCGGTTGCCCACACCGTGGAAGGGTTCTTCTGGAGGTTCCTGAAAAGGAATTTGGATTAAAGGTGGTCTTAGTGACCTGAGAGCGTGACCGCAGTGCCCAAGGGACAACTGCTTGAGGTCGGTCACACACGACCTTGTTATGGGTAATTTTTGTGTTAGCTCCGTACTTATTGGGACCTTACCGCCGGAGACGGATATCCGTGGGATAAGGCGAGGTGTGCATTTTTAGGGTCGACCTTTTCTAACCCCACCCCTCCTTGTGGGAAGGCAGCATCGCTGTTATGCTGGTTGTCTGAAGGAAACACCTTACTGCTGTCACATCTCTGTACAGTCAGCAGTACGACTTCGCCTTCGGACCCTGGATTTGTTGCTTTTAGTCTTACCGCTCTTCAACCGACCTGTCTGACATGGTAGGACCTTGAGGAACGGTTGTTCCAGCCAGTATAGCTCGGTTGCTTCATCACGATAGGCAAGCCCGACCACCACGTCAAGGTAGCAACAACGGTCGGCACAGTGTTCGGACGTTAAGAGCTCCTACGTGTAGTTTAGAGCGTGGTTTCAGGAGACCAGGAATAAAGTTCCGCGTACTCGAATCGTTTGCCCTAGTGGTGCGAGGTGATAAAGAGACGTGAGGAGGGTTAGTCATAGAGATAAGAGAGGTATTAGGAGGTGTAGGAAGGATTTGTATGTGACCAACTTGTTCTCGTGTGCTACTACGGGTATGAGGGTTGGTGTCACATCCCGGCTGCCCACACCGTGGAAGGGTATTTCTTGAGGAACCTGGAAAGGAAATTGGATTAGTGTTGGTCGTAAAGACCTGGGAGCATGACCGCAGAACCCAAGGGACAACTGCTTGAGGCCGGTCGCGCACGGCCTTTCCGTGGAAAGCTTTTGATGTGTCATCTCCGTTCTTCAAAGGGCTTTACCACCGGAGACGGAAATCCGTGAGGTAAGGTGAGGTGTGACATTTTTAGAGTCGAACTTTTCTAACCCCTTCCTTATTTGTGAGAAGGCAGCATCGCTGCAGATATGCTGGTTGTCTGAGGGAAACACCTTACTGTTGTCACACCTCTCTACAGTCAGCAGTACGACTTCGTCCTCAGGCCTTGAGTTGCTACTTTTAGTTTTACCGTTCTCCAGTCGACCTGCCTGGCATGGTAGAACCTACAGGAACATATGTTCCAACCAATATAGCTCGGTTGCTTCATCACGATAGGCAAGCCCGACCACCGCGTTAAGGTAGCAGCTTCGGTCGGGTTCATGATCTCAATCTAAAACGTAATAATCTCCACAACCCCCATACTAGTAACCAACATGTGCTAACTAGTGACTAGCTTCGTGAGGGAATTCTCGGAGTTCTAATGAGAAGCCGTGATCATTGGAGCTAATCCATGTCGGGTAGAGACAGGTATCTACCTCAGTACAATGGAAGTTGGTCGCGCAAATTTGTGGATTGGTTGATGTTAGACACTATCACCATTGGATGCCGGCTCAGTGGTCCAGTTAGTTAAGCGTTCGCGCGCGAGACCGAAGGCCCTGGGTTCGAATTCCGCGGGCGGGACCGTGGATGCGCGCTGCTGAAGGGCCCCGCAATAGGACGAAACGGCCGTCCATTGCTTCTAGGTTTCCAAAGGTGGTGGTCTAACATCAATCGGTTCATGATCTCAATCAAAAACGTAATAATCTGCACAACCCCCATACTACTAATTCATATTATTCTACATATTACGTAATTTCCCATTTTTATTCCACTATTTTCTTGGTAACCCCATGTTGACCATATTTATTCTGATCATTTTATCGCACAATTTCGTTTCACTTATAAACTGATTCAAGTTAACACTTTATATTAAACAGCCCCAACATTAACGATCTGGATTGATTTTATATAACAAACAACAATTCTTAATTCATATATAACAATTTCCAAATGATGTACGCTGCCTTAAATCTGGCCAATTTTATGAATTATTAATTTGAATTTATGAATTGTAGAACTTGATGAGAAAATATTGAAAAGAATATTCTTCGTTCATACAATTGTGTTTTAATATAATGGGAATTTTTCAGCGATTAAAATATTCCCTTATTTAAGACTACCAAGATGATAAATAAGTGGTAAAATATCATATTGCTAGACCCTGAAAAAACAGTTCGGCCTAAACTACACCGAATACGTCCAAACTTAAAAAATCAAATGACAAAACTCATACATAATATAGTGCAGATGTATAGAATCGTTTTCTAATTGTAACCATACCCAAAATACAATGAGATGGGAATTTCTTTTCCTTTTGGGTTATACTGCATAAGTTTAAGTCAGTGCTGCTGGGTTTTTGTTCAAAACTCACAAGTACCCTCATGAACCAGTTCAGGTCTAGGTACTTAAAAAGTAATGTTGCTTATCGTGTCGGTGAATTGTAAGTTCAAACGTAAATGAAGAATTAGTTTATAAAAGAATCTGGATTGAGAAAAATAAAAAGAGGTAGTATGTGTGAAATCTACTGATATGATTTATTTGACGACGATTATATCGTAATCATCAAATCAAATTTTCAATTCTAATTTCATTGTCGTGGAATAGTCAGCCAGTGTATCTTTAGATCTCAATGAATGGATGACGAGCCGAAAGTAGAAATGTACAACGACGAAGAAAAAGCACGTCTACTTTTAGAGAAAACAAATAAACTTCTTCTAAATTTCGTTCAAAACAACCAGGATTTACCAAAAAATACAATTGCCCGACTAATGTTTCTTTATGTGAATTTAACTACAAGTTGGCATTATACTTCCCTTTTATTTATGCGATATGTACATCCAAGCTAATAAACTCACTAAGTTGTTTGCATAGAAATTACCAAAACTTAAGCACTGTTGTTTTGTGATTTTGTAGAGGACAGATGTTTTTGTATCAACAAGTAGATGAAAGGAATGCTCATAATTCAGAAGGCAAAATGTTGCGATATTAATATAAAATTGGCTGAATTTTATAAGATAAATATTCCACAGTGTAATCTATTATAAAAAAATGAAGTAGTATGCGATTAGTATTATAATCACCCGTAAACCCAATAAGCTCTTAAACAAATACAGAAATAAAATAATCAACGAGATTTTACGATTAACAGTGAACTGTCACCTTAGTTTTACAAGTATATCTCAATGCCCAGTAAACAGCTCCTGTATGATCTAGATATCTATTTTGTTTATTATTTTACAAAAGAAATATAATAAGTATATCACTTGGTGTCCTTGTTGACATGTATCAAACAAATATTATATATACATAACCATACGAAAATCTAACACAAAATTAGCAGCTTCCCACTGCGTAGGCCATTGAATTTAAACGAGTAATATGACGTAATTTACAAAACGCAGCAAAAAAACATGACTATGCATTCAGTAACACTTCATAGTTAGAAAATGGAATCTTAATATCATTTTTTAAATTATTACCTTGTACAAAATACCACCACGTGGTACTGATTGTAGCAGTAGTAAAGGTGTACAGTTCTTTACTGCTTCATGAATCACAGTAGTGGGATTAATAACAGTAGCATTACTTTCCGAAATATTTGCAATACTTTTGTTTTTCCGCATCTATGAGAAATGAATAAAGTGATAAACACGTACCTGTATTAGTTTTATTTCTCTAAACGTCATGCGCATTACATTTCTAGCCACCTCTCTTTCGCCTCGAATGGTCATCATCCCCACAATTCTTGAGACAAGTTCATCAAAATTGGACCCCGTATGTTCCCATTTTTGTGCTGGAGCAACGGCTTTTACGAGACGAGGATCTTCTGGGTCTATTGACTCATTATATTTAATCATCTTGGGTTGGAGAGCAAAATGGTAGATACGTGTTCTGAATGGTTGTTTGAATTTCAAAACTTCAGCTAATTTTGTCGACAGTAAGATATGAAAATTCCACATAGTGATCCCAGCAGTAAAAAAAATTCTGAAAACTCCTAGATAAGATTGATCTAAAGAAGGGGGGAAAGACCTTGGTAACTAATATGTACCACGAAAATACACAGTAAGCGACAAATGAATAAGTTATTCGACAAGCATTGGAGGAAGTGACTTTAAACGGAGTATGGAATTGATAATATCCTATCTGAAGTTACGGAGTTAAGTGAGGCCTTATGGAAAATTGCTATTCATGACGATCATGAGATATTATCTTCCAAAAATACTATATCTAAGCTATCTACACTTTAAACAACACTCTTACATGCAGTATTACCTGCTTTAGTTTGGGTAGCTCGAATAACTTAGTATTAACATCCCTGATTGTGGTAATGATTAGTGCGGGTTCTAATCCTAAAAAAAGAATTACTTCCTTTATTGTTGAAAAGATGTCTTACAAGTACAAATCAAAATGAGAAATAGGGTTTCCTATCGATGGCTTCAGCCACCTGACAAAAGCACAATCAGTTTTCAAATAAACAAACGAATCTGCCATCGACTGATTTTACATTTAAATTAAACAAATCTACGTCGAGGTGTGATGTCCACCAAACTATCAGGAAATCATGATCCGCACAATATATTAATTGTTACATCGCTATGATTTGTTTCAAAAGATTAAGTATATCCCAAAATGTCTTACAATCCCTGCAACAAACAGTATTGTGGTGGATTTTTGTAACAGCTTCTATTAAATACTGATTTTGCAGTGCTTAACTGTCTTCAGATAAATGGATTTTTAGTATTTCAAAAAAGATCTTTTGCTAAAGTTTTCTCATACTTATATGTTATATTTTATAAATATTGCCTATAAAATATGTACCATCAGATAAAGAACTTAGACCTAATATACTATATATGCAATCTTTTATATATTACCACCATTGGCTTAACTACTCCTATGAATCCGGTGTTCATCTTGCTGTGCTAATGAGGTATGGCAACTTGGACCGATGCATATATGTGCCTCGTCCTACGTTGTAGCTTACTGACTGAGGATATTTTTAGTGAATGAAGAAACCTAAGTGTAACTCCATAATTTGATGGCAAATAGCGTTTCTATACTACACCTTGCCCGAAAAAACCACTGGTCTCAAGGTTATGCAACGGCAGTGTCGAATACATATTTTGAATTACTTGAATGTTTAGTTTAGGTATATGGCATGTACCTCGTTGGGGTAAAGTATTTATTTATTTATTTTAACAAATAGATATTGGTACAAGGAGGCACCGAATACATATGCGCCATACAAATATCATTCGATATGTGTGAGGGCTGTGATACCGCCCGGGTGCCCGAACCAAAGCAGGTGGTTTTCTTAGGGGGCTACTCCCCGAGCCTTCGATCTGAAGGTCTGATCCACAAGGCAGTGGAACATTGTAAGGAGATGCAGTCCCATGGAGGCCGGTGACCAACAATCAGTTCATACGCCATTTGTTCCCGCAGGATACTGGAGCCCATGTGCACCATTCGTTTGGAATCCGGTTAAAGCGCCGGACATTCGCTTTTCGTCCTCTCATTTTCGTAAACAACACCCTCGCCACGAGAAGGCAGTGAGTAGAACTTCCCTGGCAGAGGCTATATACGCGTGACCATGCGAGAGCGGACTCTCCCCACTCTCATCGTACCAGGGCATTTGGGGCAAAGAAACAGATCAAGTGGCAAGAATTAAATGGTAGATATTTATCAGCGTTGAAACGTGCCAAAGATTAAAGTTCGCAAAAACTAAAGCTTAGGTGGAATATTGTGGTCGACAAGAGTATTTATGACGATTATAAGTTAATCAAATAACTATCCCTGTATGAGTACAGTAAATACTTTTTTATCTTTAGTCGGCACCAAGACCCAAAAAATACTTCAAGACTTACAATTTTAGAGTTTTGTCTAAATAAAGAGAAAGTTTTGAAAGGTATCACCAAAGATCTACTTCCTAAAAGCCTTTAGAAACAATTCAGAACGTATGAGCAATTAGCTAATACAATCAACGAATAAACCTAGTAGCAGAAGAAACGACCTGATATAAGCGCTAAGAGTAGGATTCCTTAATTGCGATTTTAAACCCAATGCTGATCATAGTTATACGCTGATTATTTCTCACACGGTCGAGAACAGAAAATCCGAACCCAGAACTAGTTTAGAATCTGATGTTAGTTAATTCAAAGATTTACTCAAACAAACTAATGACTAAGGTATCACAGGATTCACTCTCGGGGTGTACATGAACTGAAAGGGTCAGGAGACTTCTTCTTCAAAGACAACTCGCTGATCATATAAAAAGGCAAGAACTAAAATCAAGGCTAGAAATGGGAGAAAAAGATAGGTCACCTGTAGACTTCATGAGATGAGGATTCAGCACCGATGCAGGTATTTGAATTGTCATTTGACCTGTCACACAAATCCTTGAAGCTTGCTTAACAAACAATTGGAATTAAATGTGCGGATAGACTATACTAAAGTGGAACTTATCATTGTAATAGAAACGGGTCTGGCCTAAAGCGTAAAAGATTACCTCAACCTAAAAAACTTGGGAGATCAAGAGCGACGAAATCGAAAAGCGCACACGATGAATAGCATTATTTATTATATATAGTATCCCCTTTACTGTTACCGACACTATAGCTTAAAAAAGTGAAATGTATGAAGTGGCTAGTTGTCACACGAAATACGATACCATCTGGAGACCTTCTAAAGCCACTGCCACATCCAAGTTCGGAAAAAAGAGAAGGGAAATAGTTACTGTATTTATGTCACTGAGATCAATTCTCAGCCATGTAATTCAACGTTTACAACCATTGGAAACGGAAAAGAAAACAAACTTTCTAAGAGTAGATTTAGACACAACACAGAAAACATTGCTTTTAGTGAAGATTATTAAAAACACTTGGGGATATATCAGTACAGATTAAAGGTCGCTGGCGTTAGGATCACGTTAAAAATGCGCTACAGCATACCTATTGACAATAGCGCCTTCATACCCATTTCAATGCCATAATGTTTCGGATCAATCTCGATGGTTCTTCAAATCTCTTCTGGTTAGTGTTAATTAAGATAATAGGCAAAACATTGTAGCGATATCTTTGGGTACCTTATGTGAAACGCTACTCTACGATATGGTAAGTTTAATAGTGTCGAATTTATTTACGGCTGATACACATCGACACTATTGTTCCTCTTTATATTGATTGCCTACTTTAATATCCGATTTAGGCATGCCTTACATGAAGATTTTTTATGGCGACTCCGTTGGATTCTTTATTATCTATGGCATATTCATTACTTGCGTGATTCAAGTCTTTTATAACTTCCCAAATGCAATAATTCTTTCAAAATATTCGCGATACAAAACGAGTTTGTTAACAACGGCGAATGTATGAGCCATTTAGAGTAGAATACATGCTCTGCATAGCAAGTTTATCGTAAAACACAGTCTTTTGAGTTCTTATTTAGTGACTCTTGATGGAGTAGCCTAAATATCTTCGGGTTTTCTAATTATTATGATTTTGCCACGCGTGCAGAATTGCACAACGATTTTAGAAAGTTTATTTCGTTGAAATTTTGTCTTTAATTAAACACAATTTTTCAGATTATATTGAACTTCTTAAAAGCTTGTAGCGGCTTGATTTCGATAGTTGACATTGCAGATGATCACCCGTGATAATCTTTGTCGAACGATCAAGTTCCCACACCATTTTAGAAGTCGCACCTTGCCGTCAGTGCCTAACGTCAATTACCCTCTGACCGTATCCAGATATTATGGCTGCTCTGATTAACGGAAACAACAATCGACGTCATTACAGAAATATGCTAGTATTAGGTTACAATAAATTTAATGTGACTACTGTTGCACGGGCCAATCCATAGCGTGCAGTGCACTGACGCGCGTTTATTGTCTTTGACATGATGAGTATCGGCGGAATGTCGGTAATCTGAGACCCGACTGCCATGACGACATGGCTGAGTGAAATTTCATTAAGTCTACAACAGTAAAGGTTCCCCAACTAATAAGGGTTTGATGAAACTTTTGTCCGTAACACATTTATAATCAAATGATACCAAACCAGTCAAATTAGAAGTCGGGAAAAGTTTTCAAAATTATATCCGTGTACCTAATGATAGATGAAGATAATAGGAGCCGACAAACAGAAATACATGGAAGAACTAGCAACGACAGTGGAAAAAGATGCAGGAAGAAATATGAAACTATATGATACGACGAAGAAACTAGCAGGGAGATATTGTAGGCCAGAGAAACCGGTCAACGACAAAGTAAGCTAATCACTGAAACTCAAGGAGAGAGAAGCAGACGGGTAGAAGTTTTGAAAAGACAAGCTTCATTCAATCCACCGGATATTGAAGTAGCACATACAGACATTCCACCAACGATGAAAGAAATGAGGATGGCTATCAGGCAAATGAAGAGTGGGAAAGCAGCTGCATCTGACAATATATACTAGCCGAAGCACTAAACTCAGACATAGAGGTAATTGCATACTTGCTCAACGTCCTATTCAGGAAGATTTGAGAGGAAGAACAAGTGCCGATAGACTGGGTACATGGATACCTCATCAAAATGCCAAAGAAAGGAGATCTGAGCACATGTGAGAACTACAGAGGCATCACACTACTGTCAGCACCAGGAATGTTTTCCAACGGAGTGTTGATGAACTGGATGAAAGGCTCAGTAGACGTCTACAAGCTGGGTTCCGTAAGATTCGGTCGTGCACACACCGAATTGCGACACTATTGAATAATCAATTGGATGGAACTCGTAACTATACGTTAACTTCCTTTATTGTGAGAAAGCATTTGACAGTGTGGATAGGAGAACATTATGGAAACTTCGACACTACGGCATGCCTGAGAAGATAGTCAATATCAAACGAAATTCTTATGGTGGATTAAACTGCAAACTCGTGCATGGAGGACAGCTCACAGACTCGTTCGAAGTAAAGAGTGATGTTAAGTTTCTTACTCTCAAACTTTCCCTTTCTTCGAGCGATCGACTGGATTATGAAGACCTCAATATCTGGGGTAAGTAGGGGATACAGTGGACAGCTTGGACGCAACTTCATGATCTAGACTTCACAGGTGATCTGGCTCTTCTATCGCACACTCAACAACAAATGCAGGAGAAAACAAACAGTGTAGCAACAACCTCAGCAGCAGTAGGTCTCCACACACACAAAGGGAAAAGCAAGATTCTTCGATACAACACAACACGCACCAACCAAATCACACTTGACGGAGAAGCTTTGGAGGAAGTAAAAACCTTTACATAACTGGGGAGTATCAGTGATGAGCACCGTGGATCTGATACAGACGTGAAGGGACGGGTCGACAAAGTGTTATAACGATCGGTTTTACTTCGGTTACACGTATGAAATGTTAATTTGCTTCAGACAAATATATACACTAGATTCCCTCCTGGTGTCTATTCCACAGGCCTTCAACACAACTCAGATCAAGAACACGTGATTGGCTCAACTAGAACGTAAATATATTTCCACACCAAACACGACACGATCCAACAACAATCAATAATAATATTTATAAGGATCGCGGAATAAATAACTCATCTGACACTTGACAGACAATCTACATGTCTGACTAAGCAGACAACCAGTCATTATCGTTCTCGCCCACATATCACAAACCAAGAGCAGCATATCCACAACTGAAGAAAATCTGGAACTCAAAACAACTGTCAACCAACACCAAAGTCGGATTTTTCAATACAAATGCCAAGACTGTTCTACTGTATGGGAGAGAAACTTTTCAGAACTACGAAAGCCATCACTCCGACGATACAAGTATTCATTAACAGTTGTCTTCACAAAATACTTAAGATCCGTAAACTTAAATTCAGTATCATCGAGAAATATAGAACAAATGATAACGACAACATTGACGGTCTTATGGCCACCTATTTAGGACAGAACAGTGATAACGTTAATTTCTTATTCGTACACGATCCTTACAATTATGATACTTCGCCCGATAATCATCAATCGCAAAGATACCTCGGTGGTACATGACAACTAACCCAGAACAACTCCTTGTGGAAGAAGGATAAGGTTTCCAGAACAATTTAACGAATACTGAGTAAAGGAAACTGCATATCACTTTGTTTTATCCGCTTTGTATAAATTTTGGTGTCCATAACGAACACAATTTTCTGATATGCTCAAATAGATGTCTGTTATTTTCCTCAAAACATCCATGAAAATACCATTGTGCGAGATGTTTTTCAGGCCATCGCATTTTATCAATGCGCATGCACTCTTTTTTTCTTGCATGTTATGTGTCTCCACGTACATACAAGCGTACTTAAACACCTACAATTTCTTTTTTTCCAGAAAGACAGCGGATGGAAAAAGAGACGGAATATAAGATGAAGGAAGTACTCATCGTAATCCTTTTTAGTTGCTATATTGCACCACTTGGCACCTTATATTAAACAAATACGACCAGATGCTGTTGGACATAACGAGCTATCAGAAGAGCGTTTGGTTTAAAATTCTAGCTAGCCCCGTATTTGGGTCGACAACACCATGCTACTGTGAGGTAAATGAAAAAACAATATGTGGCAAACTGAAAACCAATAAAATAATGATAATGACAGTGATAAGTCTGTCATAGTCTCTTTTGGGATACATAAATCAAATTTGAGTTCCTTTTTTATTTAACGAAATCGCTTCAGCAAACCGAAGAGAAGCTGGGTTTCTTTGTCTGCTAATGATTTTAAAGTCTCGAGGAATATCAATGGTAAGGTGGGTGATGCAATAGTTATGTGTTGTTCAGAGACAGATAAGATATATTGTGTGATAATTTTAGAGGTAATGAAGGTTTTACACAAGATTCCTGGAATAAAAAAAACAGGTTGCGTAATAAGTTAACAAGATTTGAAGAGTTTACATAAGTGTACCGAATTAAGTGAATGGAAATGTATGAGTGAAGGGGTGGTTTTAATGTACATAAAATAAGAATTCGGTAAGTGAAGACCACATAACAAAATAAAACTACGAGGGTAGTAATGGGTTTATTACAGTCTCTTTTTAAATACACAAATGAAGTTTGAGTTCCTTTTTTATTTAACGAAATTGCTTCAGCAAACCGAAGAGAAGCTGGGTTTCTTTGTCTGCTAATAATTTTAAAGTCTCGAGGAATATCAATGGTATGCCTGATATCAAGTAAATGCCGAGCCACTGCACTCTTTAGAGCCATTTTACTTCCCAGTATCAAGTTCTTTAGAACATGCTCGGAAATTAGAACATGTACTCTCCTCTCTGTTCTCCCAATGTATGTACTTTGGCACGTACATGTAAATTGGTAAATGCAGTTGGAGGGTGATCTTATCCGCAACGCAACCATGTAAACTTAATGTATCGCACACTGTCATTTGTGCGTTCAAGTAACCACAGATTTTGTCATTTCATAATGTATTTTTAATTAAATAACTAGATTATGTAGTTAATTTTTCTCTGTTTTTAATTTTTATTCGCCACGTCTGACTGCGTTATACTATACGTCCATTGCACGCTGAGATGATATCTCAAGTCATAGTGAGTTTATTCACATAGTTGATTGTTTCCAGATAGACTGTCAGTGCATGATTTTACTGAAGAAAGGTTTTTTGTACTGTAAACTGTGTTTTTATGATCAACTCCTTGTTGTCTTCAGTATGAATTCATACTGAATGCTGCTTTAAAGCAGTATATATGTATCCTTCTTTTTTTCTTAGGTAAGTTCAACTGCCCTATATTTCGTGTTTTGGTTTTATCGGCTTAATTATGTCCATTTACCTACTTTGAGCAACATGTCTTTGCAAGTGAAACAATAACTATGACACTTGCTTAGTTTAGTGTTCTTGGTTGTATATTCCACATCTCTGACTAAATTCATCACCATTTTTTCATTTAGAATGCAACTGGAGTGAGTCTTCACAGATCATAAAAACTTT